GGCCTGCTGGCCTCTAGCCCAGCAGGCTTGTGTTGTGTCTCGTCACCGGTAACAGAGAGGAGACTCTTGCAACCTCGCAGGCCCGCGGCCTTTAGGCCCCCCAGCGGCCTCATTAAGCTTCGTAGGTCTCACGCGCCGAGTCGGCATACGATCGTCAGAGGCAGATGTTGCCAAGGCCTACTGGCGCGAGGCCTAGTCGGCTCTCGTTAACGTGCCTGGTAGGCACGTTATTCTACGTCAGGCCTAGTAGCCCCAAGCCTCGCTGGCTTGTTGTTGTGTCATCGCGATGTGAATCGTCAGTGAAAGTGATGACAGGAGACTTCTGTGGCCTTGTAGGCTCCCAGCTTCAAAGGCAACTGGCCCCAAACCTAGTAGGATTCTCCTTATGTCTGCCCAGTCGGCGCGTGGTCATCACTGGCAGAGAGGTCTTCACTGGTGTCCCTATGGCCTTGCAGCTCACAATTTTCTGGTATAACAGACTCAGGCCTAGTAGGCCTCTTGTTCTGTCTGCCTGGCAAAAGGAGCGCCCACAAGTGACTCCTGAAACCTTGCAGGCCGCCAGGCCCCAGGCCTAGTAGGCCTGCCCTGTAGCGCCGTCGCGCGAGGTGCTGCTTAAATTGCACTTCAAATGGTCGCGTTTTGCTGACTTTCCTGTCCCAGGGTCAACTGCGAGTCCCTAACGGCCCGCTGCGAGTCTCTAAGGGCCCCACAGCGAGAGCCCAGTGGCCAACCATGCGGTTTTCTTGGCGGCAGCATGCGCCCTGCAGTGCCCTGCCTAGCCCTGCGCACAGCAGTGCTGCCAACCACGCCGCTTGGGACTCTTGCGCGGAGTCCGCGCCGTGCCCTGCAGTGTCTGCAGCACTGGTTCAACTGCGCCTTTGGCGGCGCGACTGGCGCGCGAACAGCAGTGAAAGTAACGCTTTCACTCCATACGCCAGGGCAGTGCCCCGGAGATCTGTTACTTACCAGGGCGGTGCATCGACTGACCTCAGTGAGGCTTTAGGTGCTTTCCTTGCTGAATTGCCTCAGTGAGGCAGTTGTAAAACTGCTGGGAGCAATCTGGCAGAAACCGCAGCTCGTGTTCCACCCTATCTGCTCAGCCTCAGTTGAAGCGTGCTGAGCTTTGGAAGGCTCCGGTGGAAACTGTTTTCTACCGCACCTGACTCACAGTGCGGGCAGGTGGTTTCAAGCCTAAATTTGCTCGTAAATGGCGAACCTTTTGGTGCAAGGACCCGCTGCGAGTCCCTAAGGGCCCCTGCGAGCTGCTAAGGGCCCCCTGCCCGCTGCTTTTCTGTGGGCTCGCGTTAGTAATGACGAGCTTCTGTGTTGCTTTAAGACAGCGCCGCGCAGTGCGCGCACAAGGCCCCAGAGCCTGATGTTACTTGCACTGCTGGCCCCAACCGAGACTGGGGGAAGAACATTGCACATCAAACGCAGTGCGCTGCTCTGCCGCGCAACGCGCAACGAAGGGGCTTGTATCACCCGTTCGTGCCCGCTGCTGCAGTGCAGCAGCCGCCGCTTCTCAGCTCTGGGAGGCACAAGTGCAGACTCCTTTCTCCAGCACCTGTCTCACAGTGCGAGCAGGTACTTTTAGTCCTTAAATTGCCTGCAAATGGCCGATTTTTTGTTGTACAGCCCGCTGCGAGTCCGTAAGGGCCACTGCGGGTTGCTAAGGGCCCTCTCCCTTGCTCTTTTGCAGGCATAAACGTCGTGTGAATCCCCACGTCTGTTCCCCAAGTGCGGCCTTGGAGCAGTGCCCATAGGCAAGGGAATCGCAAGCACCCTGGGGGCTACATATTAGCCGCCACGTAGCGACCCAGTGGGTCGCTAGAGCTCAGAAGCAACAGCTCGTTTCGAGTGCGAGCTGCTGCCATACTTGCTGAGCCTACAGTTGTGGGCGAAGCACATAGCAGGCAGTGACCTGTTCGTGTGGATTGACAATGACGCAGCGCGTACATCCCTACACAAAGCCTTCACAAGGAAGGCGGCAGGCGCCGCGATAGTATCGCAGGCAGTCGACGTGGAGGAGTCCCTGCAGTGCAGGGCTGCTTTCTTCCGCGTGCCCACCGTCAGCAACATTACTGATGGCCCCAGCAGAGACTGGTGGGAAGAGACTGAGAAACTTGGCGCAGAGCGCTAATTCCTTCCTCCCAACGCAGTGCTGTTGGCCTTGTCACTCGGCGCGGACTAGATGGGGGGTGAGTAAGGCTTCGAGTGCCTTGAAGGGGGGTGAACCAGTCGTTCGCCTTACCTGCGACCAGCGGTCGTTCTTTTCAGACAGATGCCAGCGGCATCCTTCGTTTCAGTGCCCGAAGATCGGGCCCGAACTGACCCCCCATGTCCGCTAGGAGAAAAAAAGAGAGTGCTTGCACAGGGTTTAACTGCAGCGCGGTTAAGGGTTTCCCGTTACGCGCGCAAACGGAAGTTTCGTTGGGAAATAAGCTTCCATCATGCGTGCGTGAATGGGTTTTATTTCCCGCCGAAAGTGTAGACAAAGTTTTGTCGTAAAAGGAAAACAGTGTTTTCACTTGTGTGTTGTGAACACTAGACAAACTTTGCCGTGCAGCTTTCGGCTTGAAGTGGATCTGTGATCCAAAAGTTTTTATCCCACCCACCACACCCTGTATAGTATGCGGGGTCTGGGACCACGCTTGTGGCAGCAGAGCTGCCGGAGCAGCGCTCCTTGTTCTATCTCTAGCAGAGATCTCATCTTCAGCACAGCGTGCTTTGCTGTACATAGGCCGTAGGCCGTCAACAACGCAGAGTAGCTAGTAGTAGACTGCAGCGACCCTGTGGGTCGAAGAAAGTTTCACCTTTGTCTCCAGAAGTACTGAGACACCCCTGGTAGGGGGCAGGAGGGGGGTGAACCAGTCGTTCGCCTTACCTGCGACCAGCGGTCGTTCTTTTCAGACAGATGCCAGCGGCATCCTTCGTTTCAGTGCCCGAAGATCGGGCCCGAACTGACCCCCCATGTCCGCTAGGAGAAAAAAAGAGAGTGCTTGCACAGGGTTTAACTGCAGCGCGGTTAAGGGTTTCCCGTTACGCGCGCAAACGGAAGTTTCGTTGGGAAATAAGAGCTTTCCCCGAGAGCCTCCCGGGCTTCCGCTCAGCCAGCCTTTGCTCAGCCGGCGTCTCCGCCCCAGCCACAGCCTGCTTATTTGCCTTTGGGGGGAGGATACCAAAGCCCCAGCATATTTCGAGCGTTTCGCCCTTTCCCCTCAGGCCTCGGATGCAGCCAGCCAGGGGTCAGGCAGCATATGGCTAGCCCAGCGAGTTCGCAGGACTCAAGCCTTGACTCAGCTGTGCCAGGATTGCGGTATCGCCATCCGCCGCCTTGGAGTCCTTTTAAGGTACCGCTCCTTTGGCTCCGACAGCCGCCTCTCTACAAGGTGCTTTGGTTCCCTACCAAGGACCTCCGTGAGCCTTTTCTTGGCTGGAGCCTTGAGGGCCTTCTCTTCGGAGTTGCGCCTTGTGCCAATTTACTTCTTTTCGCAAGCTCTCGCCAGGAAGTTGCTGCCTTGTGCCTTCTGAATAAGGCTTGCCACGACTATGTAGCAGAACGCATATCCAAGGCCCGAGGGTGACACGGCACTTTTGCCTTACATCCCGGGCGCTCAGCCGGTCGGTCCTTTGCGAGTTCAGCACATGGGAGCCTATGCTTTGCTCTCTCTCAGGCATCTTCACCGTGCCGGCCGTTGCAGCCTCAGTCAGCACAAGCCTACTCGCAAGCCAGTTAAGCCCAGCCGGTTCCTTAAGCCGTCCATGAGCCCTTTCCTGCAGTTGGCCCTTCTCCTTCGTGCTGCCACCCCAGGTTTCTTCGAACCTCGGCCAGCACCTCAGCCTCCTAAGCCGATTCTAGCCTGCGCTAAGATGCTAGTCAGGGCAGGTCTTCGTTGTCCTTCATGCTTTCAAATCAAACAGCCCTTCCTGTCTTCAGGTTACCAGCCCTCGGCCCCGCCCTCTGCATCACCTGCCTTCAGCGCCTCTTCAATCGACGGTCAGCCCGACTCAGCAGACTTTTCAGGATCTACATGATCTTCGACCCGCCCTCAGCCCGGGCCCTGCCTGCCTTGCAAGCAGCCAGCCGCAGCTTGCCTATGTAGCTCTTTCGGCTGAGACATCATGAGGGGGCACCAGCAGCCCCGCTTCCTATGCCAATAGCCCTTTCCCCTCCAATGGAATCAGGGCCAGCCGACTGCCAATATGACCAACCTCTCAGCCATGGGCCGTATGAATGCGGGCCTGTCTGGTCCCCTAGCCTTCGACCCTGATACCAGCTCCGCCTACGATGCTTTGCAGCCACAGCCTTCTACCCAGGACTTTAGCCAAGAGCCCACTGATGAACCGACAGTGCAGTCTCTTTCGGAACGCCTTCGATCTCTGGAAGCTCGTATCGGCATTTTAGAAGCCGACCGCCGTGGCGCACAGCAAGCCTTGTGGCACCACAGCCGCCGAGCCCATGAACAGCCACGCCTTCGCTGCCTTCTTTCGCCCTGGGTCTTCATCAGTGCCAAGATAGACGCCGTCAGGATCCGTTTGGACCAGACTTACGCCAGGGTAGCCGGGTTGCTCTTGACACTTCAGCAAGCCTTCCCTACTATAGCCGTCTATTTTACGGAGGCAGCCGTTGATGCTTGCCAGTATCAGGGACCCTCAGCCTTGCTGGACTCCGAAAAAGACCCAGAAGCTTAGCCTTTGCAGCCCGCCTTGCATGCCTTGCCAAAAAGGCTCTGCAGCTTAGGCGTTTGCATTTTCATGGGGGTTTCGCCATCCTAGTCCTGCTCAGGTCCCGCCTACCTCAGGCCGGGTTTTTCCTTCACAGGCATTGTTGCTCTCCATGCCCTGGGCCAGGTCACATGCCCTCCAGCCGCTCCAAGCTCACAGGACTCCTGCGTGCAAGTGCCCCACATAGCAGTCTGTTTTCCTGTGCGACGCGCGTGGACACCCCCAGAGCATTTTCGTTCACAGCGCCTATGGGAGCTTCAGCGTCAGCCTCAGCCATGGCGTCCGACCACGATGCCTTCGCCGACTGGCTGAAGACGTTGGCCCCAGATGAGTTAGCCAAGCTCAAAGCCTTGCATTCTGCCTCGGCGCAGACGGCAGCCGACACAGCCGTACAGGATGATGCTCGGCCTTGCGATAGTTCCTCCATAGCCTTCTTGTCTACCAGAACCAGGAAGCCTTCTATCATGCCCAAGATGGATGTTACACAGGCCCTATTCCAGCTTGTTTTGACTACGTCCCGCCTCAGGACGTGGAAGACCTTGATGAAGCCGACACGGCCCAGCCTTCCCAGACCGAAGCGGCTCAGCCTTCACAGCCTTCAGTACCTGCAGCCGAAGCCGAAGCAGCTGCAGTCACAGAGCAGCCCATTGAGGCCGACGGAGAATACCTCCCTATGGAGGAGCAGCTCATCGACATGACGGCCGTCGTCACAGCAGCCACACACCAGCAGCCTTTTCCTCTGCTTTTCTTTGATCCCGAGGAGCCGACAGGTTTCCGCTCAGCCCTCCGGCCAGCTTTTTCCCGTCTTACCCCAATGCGCCGCCCAGCCAGCCCGACAATTCCCCCATGCCTCACGCCAAAAGCGGAGCCCCCGCCGATTAAGGCCGTGCCTTCTGGAGCCATTCCGCCTCCCACGAAGACCCCACCTGCTTCCAAGCCTTCCCAGCCGCAGCCCTCGGAGAAGCCGCCGCAGCAGAAGCGCCCCCGAAAGTCCCACAGAATTGGAAGCCGGCGCAGCAAACCTTTCTGCCCGAGTCAGCCAAGGCCCAGTCGGCAGATCCGACGACCAAAGCCATGCCACAAGTGCAGCAATCCCCGCCGCCCAAACCCAAGGCCTCGGAGCCACAGACGGCGCAGGAAACCAGCCAAGCACTGCCCATCCCGAAAGTTGCCACTGCCACACCCAGCCCACAGCCTTCCCCAGAGCCAGCTTCCAGCAGTTCCGACCAGGCCCCACACTCAGCCTTGCATGGCCAGACCAGGGAAGGGGTCTTCTTCGAGCCGGAGTTCCTTGCATCCGACCACAAGCCTACATACCCTGGCCCTTACCGACCACCCAAGCCTTTTGGACTAGCCGTGATCTGGGACTCCCGCGCGTGGATTAATTTCTATGGCAGTGAGCCTCCAAATGCAGCCGTGGAGATCGACGTCGAGTCCCACTTTTACACGGTCGAGCCAGGACCCACTGAGGATCAGCCTTCTCAGCCGGGGCCTAGCCAGGAGCAGGAGTCTGAGCCTTCCGGCGAGCCCGTCGACCTCCCGCCCTGCCCACCACTCCCCGAGTGGTTTTCAGCCGATACGGGGGTGCTCCGCTATTGGCACTTCGGTGCCACGGAAAAGGGCAACCCCCGCAATATGAGCAAGCAGTCGGTCCCTGCCCTATGCCTTCATGTTAAACTCTGTACATAGGAACGCCCCCACACCTTTGGTGAGCCCAGGCTACGGTATATTTACTTGCAGCGCCTTTTGACTCAAGCAGGAAAAGCGTGACCGCTCAGGGTTTTACAGTTTAACTTGGTAGCGGAGCAAGAGAGCCTGAAGATCCAGGAAACCCGTGGGAAGAAGTAAACCTTGGAAACCCGGATTGGAACCGGAGGAAGAAGTCAAGGATACCTGGAAACGGGAAAAGTAGAAACCTTGTATTTGCCATGACGGTGATCGCGGAGAAGATGTACAAGGACCTCTTGCGTATGATGCTTGGATTTTGTATGAGTATCTTGCTGAGCCAGGGAAGTGTGCAAGAAACAAGTTGCATGCGGATGAACATGTCTCACCTCAGTATTCGACCACAGCTGTATCCCCTCGAAGAGGATAAGGAAACCTGTGTATGGGAGTCTTTGTTTCCCAGATGTCGGAAGGAATTGTACCAGACGGAGCAAAGAACACAAGGTACACCGAAATCCTTCCCCTTCCACCAGTTGGAAGACCAAATGTGGAACCTACGCAGGAAGGTACCATGGCGGATCGGATTCAGGATCTGCAGGAGATGCAGGAATCAGCAGCAAGCCGGAGGCAAGAAGTCTTGGAGAAGCTGCGTACCCCGGAAAGAGTCAAGCCTACGGAGGAAGGTGCTACACCAGCACGGACTCCAGCAACTACCGGAAAGACTCGAGAAGAGAAGAAGAAAGAAAAGAGGAGTGCCCGGAAAGAGGCCAAGAGGATCAGGAAGTCCGAGAAAGCAAAGAGGAAGCTGGAAGAAGCACCTGCAGAAGAACAAGGTTCTGAAGGTGTCCGAGGTAAGTTGGAAGAAGCTATCGAACTGGCAGGATCGATTGAGAATGTTACGTTGCTTGAGAAAGAGTTTAAACGGTTTGCCTTGGACAGGAAGTATCAGGCCCCCCTTCGTAGTCTCTACAGCCAGATGTTGCAGAACAATCGGGACTTCAAGCCCAGATCTTTCTATGATCCCCCAGGAAAGGATCAAGAGACAGAACGACTCGAAGCTCTCAAGGAAGAAGAGGATAAGAAGGCTGAGGCAGAGTCTCGGAAGAGAAAGCTTGCAGATCTGGAAGAGCAAAAGCGGATCTTGGAAGCTGAGACGAAGGAAAAGCAACGAGCACTGGAGGAGGAAACCAAACGCCTTCGTGCAGTGGAAGAATCTGAGCGGATGGCTAAAGCACTTCAGGAAGCTAACAAACAGCAAGCAAAGCCCAAGGTACCTGAAGCAGCACTGGACTCGGCGGAAGAATGGTACCGTAACAAAGCTCGCGAAGTTGTGGACCGTTTGGGCGGAAGGAAGAATGAGCAAGCGGAGACTTTCCGTAACGCGGAGAAGGAATGGCTCGGAAGATGTAGATCCCTTGAGAAAGCACAACAGGAGTTTTTGCTTTCCTCAGAAAGACTCCAAACAGCTATGGGACGAGCAATCAAGTCAGCGGTGTGGTAGGGAGAGGAGAAATCCCTCCAGGAGCTTTTGGCAGGAATCTACGAGTCGACTACCCGTGTTCAAGAACCACGACCGAAGAAGATGCCGAAGCTTCCAGACTCCAGAGACCCCAAGAGTACTGAAGAGGATAAAGAGAAGAAGCTTGGGGATAAAAGAAAGTCTGGAAGAGGTAAGAGGCAGCCACCGGAAGAAACTCCCGGAAAGGAATGGACAGAGCGGATCTACGAGGAGGATTGGACTTCAGTTGCGTGCTGGAGAAGAATTCCTCCCGGGATGCAAGCCGCCATTCACCAAGGAGTGGACAGAAGAGTTGGATAAGCTCTTGTATGGACTGGTGATGCGAGGATTTGGTGACCGCAACGGAGAGACGCAGCCTCTGTACGAGTTCCCATGGCAGTTGTCGGGAGAACAAGACCTGGAGGATACCAACCGGGAACTGGAAAAGTTCAGCGTACGACTCATCCCCTCAAGGAGGGAATGTAAAGGAGCTGGACGAAATGGAGGACTTGAAGCCTGGAGTATGCACCCAGCGGGAAAAGGACGTTTGGACATCGAGCCAACGGAGACATCGCGGGGACGGACGATATATGGATCGCTTCCCCCGAACCGCAATTTGTGCTCGCTTTGCTGGCGCAGTGGACACTGGAAGAAGCAGTGCAAGTTCAACCAGCTCAACTACCTTATGTACGAAGCAATGCTCGCAGTGTTGGACCGTGGACACCAGGTCAGGCGACTGTATCCGATGCGAGGAATATCGAAACCCGGATACATGGAAGGCGACAACCCGTATCGTCGGTACTTTCCTATGCTCGCACTTTGCGACTATGGATCAAT